GTTGGCTGCGATTTTGAAGCTGAAATCGCGTTCGGTGTGAACGCAGCATAATTGAATTTGCTTTAAAACTGTATTCTGGATTATTAAAAATTCAGTTTGACTACTTTCAATTTCAGTTCCATAATTCAGATTTTGTGTCACACATCCTGGTCCTTGAGAAAGCCAGGCAGAGCAATCAAACACAGTTATACAGATTTATGTTTCACTTTGGTGACGCTTCCTTTCTGGAATGTAACAGTTGATGCAATCTACTGTAATTTAACTTTAAGTAGAAAATGTTACATTTACATCACATCATGGATCACATTGATCAGATGCTGATGCTGACTGATCCATGATGTAAATGTAACATTTTCAATAGGTAAAATTAATCACAGCAATAAAATAACTGTCTGTTTTTGTCACTTTTGCTTTCAAACATACAGTTTGAAAGCAAATTAATTCAAATTCAAAACTTCAAATTCTGTTTCAATGTAGTGACATTTATTTTCAAACCAATTGATTCAATTTCAGATTATGGACATTCAGATACAATCTGAGCAATTCAAATTCAATTCGTGCTGGCACAAGATTGATCCCATACATTTGTCAAAATATTGTAATTAAAACTAATCAGAGCAGTGCAGAAGTTTAAAACCAGACTGAAAAAACTTCAGGATCTTAGTCCAGAAATACCTTATCTGAGAAAGGACAACTTTCTCTAAGATTTTAGAAATAAAATACAACTTGGAAGTGGGCCTGAAATTGGAACCAACCTTGGTCGAGACCAGGGGTCTCATGTATCAACGGTGCGTATGCACAAAAACCTTGTGCACGCCATTTTCCACGCAAAACTCAGGATGTATCAAAACTGAACTGAACGTGGAAATGTGCGCAGCCCCACGCCAACTCCAGGGCAGGTGTACGCACGTTCTGTGGTTCTGGTTCCATTGGCGACACTTAGAGGTGATTCTGAGAAACTGTTCTTGATGTGAAAATGATTATTGTTCACAGCAGACACACATGATTAACAATTATTACATCCACATGATTAACAATTATTACATCCACATGATTAACTATTATTACATCCACATGATTAACAATTATTA